AAGGGGGACGGTCAGTGAGGAGTGAATAAAACAGACCTTCCTGCTGGCAAAGATGTGTGGCCAAACTATGAATCTGCAAACAAAAGAAGGGAGGTAATTGCAGAAGCATATAACAGCAGCAGAAACCTCTGGTGCAACCAGCGTCACCTCCCGCCCAGTGCCTGCCAGTTCACAGCAGCCGGTCAGAAAGCCTGCGAGCTTGCAAACGGGACAGACCACAGGAGTGGAATCTATACACCAGCCTCTGTACCCTGCCCAGGCTTGACTCAGAGGCAGTGACAAATGCATTGGGCTGGTTAGTTGATCGGTACACTGAACATGAATCCAGGCAACAACCGGGCAGTGACTTCCCTGAAGACTGAAGTCACTTCCTGTTTGGAACCTCCAGTCCTGAGATGCATTCCCCCACAGCTCAGGCTTCCATGCAGGATCAAAAGCAACTCCTGGGGCAATGAAAGAAATGTAAGGAAAAGCCTATGTGTGGTTGAGAGAGCCTTGAATGAAGTCTGAAATGTGATACTTTTTCTTTTCTTTTTTTTTTTTGATGCAGAGTCTCACTTTGTCACCCAGGCTAGAGTGCAGTGGTGTGATCTCAGCTCACTGCAGCCTCCAGCTCCCAGGTTCAAGTGATTCTCATGCCTCAGTCTCCCAAGTATAGCTGGGACTACAGCTATGCACCACCACACCCAGCTAATTTTTTGTATTTTAGTATAGACAGGATTTCATCATGTTGCCTAGGCTGGTCTTGAACTCCTGAGCTCAGGCAATCCACCCATCTCAGCCTCCCAAAGAGCTAGGATTATAGGTGTGAGCCACCACACCTGGCCAACACTTCTATATAAGTATCAAATCAGAGTATGAATGAATTCAGCATTCCAATCACATTCTTATGCAATGCCTGAATCACTCTCACAGAAAATCCTTACTATAAAAAAAGCATTATAGGCTGGGCACGGTGGCTCATGTCTGTAATCCCAGCACTTTGGGAGGAGGAGGTGGGCAGATCACCTGAGGTGGGGAGTTCAAGAGCAGCCTGACCAACATGGAGAAACTCCATCTCTACTAAAAAATACAAAATTAGCCAGGCGTGGTGGTGTGTAATCCCAGCTACTCTGGAGGCTCAGGCAGAATTGCTTGAACACGGGAGGTGGAGGTTGCGGTAAGTCGAGATCATGCCACTGCACTTCAGCCTGGGTGAAAAAAGCAAAACTCTGTGTCCAAAACAAACAAAACAAACAAACAAACAAAAAAAAACACATTATATTGTCACTATAGAAAATACTCATAATTCTGGTTTAGGTGAGTTACAGCAAACTTAGAAATAATTGGATTTGTACAGATAAGGGAAGCTTACCCCTTAAATGCCAAAAATTTTAAACAGTATTTTCATGACATGTGAAATATACATGTTTATATTACATGTTCGCCAGATTTCTCAGCCCAGTGATTCCTTTTTCCAACTTACTCAGGGTAATCTCAATCACATCCTTCATTATGTTATGGTATTTTGTTTTCCTGTCTCCTCTCAGGAGTTCAGGCCTTCAGCAGGCACTTCCTTTGTCAGTTTGAGCTTCTTCCCTCCCTCCCCCACTGCAATATATCTTCCTGTTTCTTCTAATCTGTGCAGCTAGGCAACCAGATTACAGGATTCTTTAGAGCTATGTTATAAACAAGGCAATAGAAAAGGTCTGGAGAATAACAACAGACCTTTAAGGCTGTAAGGCTACCTCTGCGTGTTTGAGGGAGTTTGCAACTGTTTCTTCCATCCAGATTTGGAGCAGATTTTCAGAGAGCAGAGGGTGCCAGAGGCACAGGATAAATGCTGTGCTATGGAATATCAGCCTGGGATCAGGCCATGCCTCAAGCCCCCTGTCCCCCACTCAACTCCCTAGAGCGCCAAAGGCTTTGAGCTACAGAAAATTGGGAGGAATAATTAGGAATAAAGATGAAGCCACACCAGATTCTTCTTTCAGAAAATGAAATAACTGCTGACAAAGCAGGGGTAACACTAGCCTGGGGAATTTGCTCTAACCTCCACAGAGGAGCATCTCTGCATTGTGCCTTACAGAACTGTAAGCATTGAGGAAATTGAAAATGTGGTTTTGGCCGGGTGTGGTGGCTCATGTCTGTACTCCCAGCACTTTGGGAAGCCGAGGTGGGTGGATCACCTGAGGTCAGGAGTTCGAGACTAGCCTGGCAAATATGATGAAA